ACATCAACGCTCCCGCTCCCGCCGACTCTTGCACCTTAACGGCAGCGGGTTGACACGGACTGAGGGGATAGGGAAGCGACGACGCGCCGTAGTAGCTCTTCTGGAAGTCGAACGACAGGAAGCCGCCGCCGGCACCGAGCACGGACATCCAGTTGTAAGCGGCCGCCTTATGAGCGAGCGCGCGCTCGGCTGACATCGTCTGGTGCAGCGGAAGAAAGCCCGGACGTGCGTCACTCTCCTCGGACTCGCAGCGAGATCCGCGGTAGTTCAGCGTTCCGCCGCTAGGTGGCGGCATGTACGGGTGCGCATGCGCGCCGATCTTCTCCTGCCGTCTCCACTTGGCGCGTCTGTTCTGGAACCAGACCTGGACTCGAGCTTCGGTGAGGTCTACTCTCATGGCCAGCTCCTCCCTAAACACAAGTAGAAACACATGTGATAATAATTAAAATTGCCCAGGCCCACTAGCTATGTATGATTCATGAAGAAACAAAAGCCCTTAATTGATATACGTTTCATTCCTTAAAGGAGTGATGCAAACAAAAGATACAAGAACAATAAACAGAAGTAGAAACACATGTGATAATAATTAAAATTGCCCAGGCCCACTAGCTATGTATGATTCATGAAGAAACGAAAGCCCATATACGTTTCATTCCTTGAAGGAGTGATGCAAACAAAAGATACAAGAACAATAAACAGAAGTAGAAACACATGTGATAATAATTATCATTCGATGGCTGTGGCGCTACTGTATGGACTGGAAACCAACTACAATATTAGTGGCGAAGGGAATAATGGACCATGAAAAAATGTCCCTATTAACCACATAGACCCCCTCGCATGAAAACATATAGGTTTTTTTCGGACTATTTTAATACATGAATAGATTCGTGATAACGCTTCTGCACTAAAATTTCTATATGGCATTTTTTACAGCTAAACCATTACTCTGCAGACAAAACGGAAAGACAAAACGGAAAGGCAAAAGGGCCTTTTCTAATGGCCACAGTCCGTGACACAGTGAATATGTGGGACGAATCAATTAGGTGACGAATGTGAGTAGTTGGAAGCGTAAACGATGAAAGGGAATCACGCTGTACACTCGTGCCTGTCTAATAAATAAGGTATGGCGATATTACTGTTGTCGGACAGATCCGCAATTATGACCGTAATGGCTATTATGCATCGGACAAGCTCTCTCTCTCTCTCTCTCTCTCTCTCTCTCTCTCTCTCTCTCTCGCTCTCTAT